ACCTCTTTGCCGCCGTTCTACATCCTCGTGTACATCGACGACTTGGTTTTTGCTACAGCTGACACTGCTGGACTCGCCCACGTGAAGTCCGAGCTGCAGAAGAGACACACGTGCACAGATCTGGGTGAACTGCGTAGCTATCTTGGCTTGCAGATCACTCGGGACAGAGCACGGCGCACCATTACCCTGACTCAGTCACACATGGTGCAGCAGGTCCTTCAGCGCTTCGACTTCACGTACTCCTCGCCTCAGGCCACTCCTCTATATACTCGCAACTCGCTCTCAGCTCTGCCTTCGGATGAGTCCGTAGAGCCGAGTGGCCCGTACCCAGAGCTTGTTGGCTGCCTCATGTACCTGATGACATGCACGTGACCTGACCTGGCCTACCCTCTTAGCATACTGGCACGCTATGTTGCTCCTGGGAGACACCGACCAGAGCACATGGCTGCAGCGAAGAGGGTGTTGCGCTACTTGTGCAGTACGTCGGGCATGGGGCTCGTGCTTGGAGGGCGGAGTCGAGTGGTCCTCACTGGTCACGCAGACGCGTCTTGGGTTGACGACCTGGCTACTCAGCGGTCGTCACAGGGTTACACCTTCAGCCTTGGTTCCGGCTCTGTTTCGTGGCGGTCTACTCGCTCGTCCGCTGTTCTCAGCTCCAGCTGTGAGGCTGAGATCTACGCAGGAGCCATGGCTGCACAGGAGTTACGCTGGCTGACCTACCTGCTGACTGACCTTGGAGAGCCGCCTCGTTCTCCTCCAGTTCTGTACGTAGACAACAAGGCCATGCTGGCCTTGTGTCGGGAGCACAGACTGGAGCACAGAACGAAGCACATTGCTCTTCGCTACTTCCTTGCTCGTGAGCTGCAGCAGCGTGGTCAGCTGCGCCTTGCTTACGTGGCCTCTCAGGCCAACACTGCTGATATCTTCACCAAGGCTCTTCAGCCTTGTGATCATCAGCGCTTTTGTACGATGTTAGGTCTTGTGCCTACCCAGCCTCACTTGCTTACCTCTTGACCTTGCTTTGTACTGTGTCCTATATATATCTGCTCTTGCTTGTTTCCTTTTATATATATATATATATATATATATATATATATATATATATATATATATATAGGCTGCATGTGAACTAGCCTTGAGGCCTTGAACCTTTGCTCGGAATGTGTGGTGACGTTGTGATCCACCCTGAGCTTTGCTGTGCCTTGCTTGACTGGTCTTGTGACCCCTTGTTCTCCCCCACTTTGCCTATGGGGGTGTGTCAAACATATTTATGTATGTTATAAAGTTAGGTAGGCTGTAGTGGGGTAGACTATTAGGGGTACAACACTTTAGGGTTCTCCCTTGTACCAAAATCACTCGACACTCTAGTCCACTCTTCACCTACTATTCTGACACTTTGAGTGTCTTACGGCTACTGTACCTCATCTCGTGGCACTGCTGCTTGCCCTTGACGGAGACCCGGATGCACCAGACATCCCCACCCCGCGCTCTTACGCAGAGGCGATTACGGGTCCCTACTCCTCTTAGTGGCAGACAGCCATGGATGCAAAAATGGCATCCTGGAAGTCCACAGGCACTTACGTCGATGAGGTTCCCCTTCCTGGGGCGAACATCGTCGATGGCATGTGGATTTTCAGGGTGAAGCGGTCGCCGGGTTCTCCGCCTTTCTTCAAGGCTCGTTACGTTGCACGAGGCTTCAGTCAGCGACAGGCAGATGACCTGCACGTTGCAGCTCAGCGTGACTACGAGCTTCACTCTCTGGACTTCAGCTGAGCTTTCTTACAGGGCAGTCTGCACGAGGAGATCTGGCTGCGCCGCCCACCTGGCTTCACTGGGTCGTTCCCTCCTGGTACCCAGTGGAGCCTCCGCCGGCCAGTCTACGGTCTCCGTCAGGCGCCTCGTGAGTGGCACGACACACTGAGGACGACACTTGCGGCTCTTGGGTTTGCCCCTTCCACTGCTGACCCGTCGCTGTTTCTACGCACCGACACTTCGCTGCCGCCGTTCTACATCCTTGTGTACGTCGACGACTTGGTCTTTGTCACTGCTGACACTGAGGCACTTGCCCTTGTGAAGTCGGAGCTGTAGAAGAGACACACGTGCACAGACCTGGGTGAGCTGCGCAGCTACCTTGGCTTGCAGATCACCTGGGACAGAGCACGGCGCACCATCACACTGACTCAGTCACACATGGTGCAGTAGGTCCTTCAGCGCTTCGGCTTCACTTGGTCCTCGCCACAGTCCACTCCTATGGCTAACGGTCGCTCGCTCTCAGCTCTGCCTTCGGATGAGTCCGTAGAGCCGAGTGGCCCGTACCCAGAGCTTGTGGGCTGCCTCATGTACCTGATGACCTGCACTCGACCTGACCTTGCGTACCCTCTTAGCATCCTAGCTCGCTACGTTGCGCCTAGGAGACACCGGCGAGAGCACTGGGAGGCTGCTAAGAGGGTGTTGCGCTACTTGTGCAGTAGATCGGCCATGGGGCTCGTGCTTGCAGGACGGGATGAGGTTGTCCTCACTGGACACTCGGACGCGTCTTGGGTTGACGACCTGGCTACGTAGCGGTCGTCACAGGGTTACACTTTCAGCCTTGGCTGTGGCTCTGTTTCTTGGCGGTCTACCCGCTCGTCTTCTGTTCTCAGCTCCTGTTGTGAGGCTGAGATCTACGCCATAGCCATGGCTGCACAGGAGTTACGCTGGCTCACCTACCTGCTGACCGACTTGGGAGAGCGACCTAGTTGTCCTCCAGTTCTGTACGTAGACAACAAGACTGCTATTACCTTGTGTCAGGAGCACAGACTAGAGCACAGAACGAAGCACATCGCTCTGCGTTACTTCCTTGCTCGAGAGTTGCAGCAGCGTGGTCAGCTTTGTGTTGCTTACGTGGCCACCCGGGCCAACACTGCTGATATATTGACCAAGGCACTTCCGTCTGGTGATCATCAGCGCTTTTGTACTATGCTAGGTCTTGTGCCTGTTTTGTCTCACTTGCTTACTTCGTGACTTTGCTTCTACTGTGGTTTATATATATAGCTGCATGCTTGCTCTTGCTAGGTAGTGATCACTGTACTGTTGTTGTTGCATATATACCTCTGCATGTGAATTGGCCTTGTGGCCCTTTGCTTGTGCTCGGAGTGTGTGGTGACGTTGTGATCCACCTTGAGCTTGCTTTGCTTTTCTTGATTGGTCTTGTGACCCCTTGTTCTCCCCCACTTTGCCTATGGGGGTGTGTCAAACTATATATGTGTTAGTTCTGTGTAGGCTATAGTGGGGTAGCCCATATGGGGTACAACTTAATGTTAGGGTTAGTACTTGTACCTTGAACTCATTCAATGCATTCATTCCTGCTTGTTATTTTGACAGGGTGAACAACACCTCGCTGGAGCTGACGCTGTCCTGACCCCGAAACCGGCTGCTGCCGCTGCTGCTGCGGGGGCTGCTGCGAGGGGAGGGGCTGCCCACAGGCGTTACACTTTTTTCCCCGCTACATGTTATTAGGCTTCATCAATCTAACACGGAGAAACGGTGGCTATGAAAAGTTATGCCATATGCCCATGTTGCTAAACTGTCAAGATAGTAGCTAGAGGTGAGGAGCCATGCTAGGGTGAAGAGGAGAAAGTGTCGAGAGAGTTTAGGCAATAAAAGAGGGCTTCACTATAGGGTTTGAGATACAAATAGGATAGAAAGGGGGGTAAACCACCAAACAGGTACATGAAATAACTACACTACTGCTAGAACTACATGCGGTTATATTAATGTAATCTGACATAAACTTCTATAGACCAGAATTTTGGTCTTGTCCTCCTCTACATTATTCTCTCTAATGTTCCAAGAATATAAAATTTCTAGATAAAATAACAATAGCTACGATCAAAGGGGTCATGTGTGTATCAATCTAGCATCGCAACTGTAAAATCTTAAGTGATTCTGTGACTCAGTTTGATTAAATGTACCCCGTAACAGATGTGTCCCTAATTGATCTCGTTCTGTATAGAAGATAATCATCCACACGCAAACGCACTGTGCGATCGCCACGCCATCCACCCCTCCTGGACACACCACCAACTTTAGTCGAAACTCGCGAGCAGCTACTAGCGAGTGTGTTGACCCCGACCAAGTCGCTGACGACATGAAACCGTGTCGACAGCTCAATTCCCCTTATTTGCGATGAATCCTGTCCGGATTTTGCAGCCGCAGATTGCGCTGATTGCTGTGCTGCTGATTTCGCCGGCACTCCGAGCCCCGCCGCTGCTGCTCGAAGGAGGGGGAGTTGGCGGAGGGCACGTGCGCGGATGGGGGAGCAGCGGAAGGATGCGGGGGGGAGTAGAGGGCGGATCACAGGGCGGGTGGGGCGTGGGGTCGGCTGCGGCGGGAGCAACGATGGCGGCGGAGTGCTTGGAGGTGGGCCGGCGACTGCAGCAGGCGATGTGGGACATCGAGCAGCGGTGAGCGCAGCAGCGAGCAGAGGTGAGGGGGGAAGCAGAGGTGAGGGGGGAAGCAGAGGTGAGGGGGGAAGCAGAGGTGAGGGGGGAAGCAGAGGTGAGGGGGGAAGCAGCGCTCAGGGGGTAAGCAGCGGTGATGGGGGAAGAGAAGCCGCGGTGAGCTCACTGAGCAGGTGAGGGGAGAAAACCGCGGTGAGGGGGGAAAACCGCGGTGGGGAGGGAAAACCGCGGTGAGGGGGGAAAACCGCGGTGAGGGGGGAAAACCGCGGTGAGGGGGGAAAACCGCGGTGAGGGGGGAAAACCGCGGTGAGGGGGTGAGCAGCAAGCAGCGGTGAAGGGTAGAATCACAGTGAGGGAGGCAGCAGCGGTGAGGGAACCGAGCAGCGGACAGGGGAGAGAGGGGGGAGAGGGGGACGAGGGCATGGGGATAGGGGAAGGAGGTATGTCGCGGTGGTGGACGTGGGTAAGTTTGGAAGACGACGACTGCAGCCTTCCGCGGTCACCTCTCCCTCCTGTGCCGTTCCTCCCACCCCTCTCTTCGCTCCCTTTCCCCCGTCTATGAATGTCCTTATCTCCTGCCCTTTTCCAAGCAGCAGAATAAAGCTTTTGCTTAGAGGCCGAGCCTTGCACCTTCACAGGCCGAGCCCTTGGACCTCGGTCGTGCAGTGTCGTGATGTGCTTCTGTTCCTGCCAGGGAGGATGGGCACCTATGCCCCCTCCTCTCCTCCCCTCCCTGCCTCCCCCCCGTCATGACCACCCCAACTCCCTGCCAGCTACGGCGTGGACGTGGTGCAGAGGAGCGCGGCCTTCGACCCGCCGCTGCACCGCTTCCTGGTGCTGCTGGCGAAGCTGCTGGCAGGCCGGCCGCTCACAGTGGTGGCGGTGGGCGGCTCCATCTCCGCCGCGGGGCACCTGCCGGGCGGCGTCATGCACGGCACTGGCACGTATGGCCAGGCCCTTGTGGACTGGCTGCAGCAGGTGAGCGGTTGTTGTGAGGATGGCAGAAGGAGGAAAGGGGCAAGGGGAGGAAAGGGGCAAGGGGAGGAAAGGGGCAAGGGGAGGTAAGGGGCAAGGGGAGGAAAGGGGCAAGGGGTGGAAAGGGGCAAGGGGAGGAAGGGGCAAGGGGAGGAAAGGGGCAAGGGGAGGAAAGGGGCAAGGGGAGGAAAGGGGCAAGGGGAGGAAAGGGGCAAGGGGAGGAGGGCCGCGGGGCACCTGCCGGGCGGCGTCATGCACGGCACCGCCACATATGGCCAGGCGCTCGTGGCCTTGCTGCATCAGGTGTGTGTGTGGTTGTTGTGGGGAGGGCAGAAGGAAAGAGGGAGGGTGGAAGAGGGCTTGGAGCGCGTGGGAGAAATGTGGACGAGGGTTTCGGGTTTAGTGGAATGAGGATGAGCAATGATTCTGCAGTGATGGGTGATGGTGATAGATGACTGTTCAGTTGCTCAGAAACGAGCAACTAAACATCCACCGTCGCCATCACTAAAGGTCACGCCACGGCTGGGGTCAACTCATCTCTGCTCTCCCCATCCCTCCTCTCCCCATCCCTCCTCTCTCCATCCCTTCTCTCCCCATCCCTCCTCTCTCCATCCCTTCTCTCCCCATCCCTCCTCTCCCGATCCCTCCTTCCCCCATCCCTCCTTCCCCCATCCCTCCTTGCCCCATCCCTCCTTCCCCCATTCCTCCTTGCCCCATCCCTCCTTCCCCCATCCCGCCTCTCGCCATCCCTCTCTCCGTCGAGCACAGGTGTTCCCCACACCACCCTCAGCCCCTCCGCACCGTCTCATCCGGGCCTTCCTACCCGGGGCGGGCTCATACGTGCTGCACTTCTGCACGGGGGAGCTGCTGGGGGCGCTGTGGGCGGACGGGGAGGAGCAGCGGCGCGCAGCGGGCGAGGCGGACGTGGTGCTGCTGGAGTGCGCCGCCAATGATTGGTCCGTGCTGCAGCCCGGCATGGTGCCGCCAGCAGGTAGGCTCACTCGAATGGCCCGGCAGGTTGTGGGAGGCACCATGGTGGAATGGCACGGTTGCATGGGCTGGGTGGCACTGTTGCATGGGCTGGGTGGCACTGTTGCATGGGCTGGGTGGCACTGTTGCATGGGCTGGGTGGCACTGTTGCATGGGCTGGGTGGCACTGTTGCATGGGCTGGGTGGCACTGTTGCATGGGCTGGGTGGCACTGTTGGATGGGCTGGGTGGCACTGCATGCATGCCCGCACACCTCCCCTCCGTGCCATTCCATCCACTCCCTCCGCTGTTTGGCATGCAGATGTTGGTGATGCGTGCAGTACAGTAGTGAGTGGCTGGAAACGACTTCACATGAGGGCCCTACTTGAAGCTGCCTGCCTCCTTACCCTCACGTTGCTTTCCTGTATCCCATCTTTACTTGCTTTCCACCATTCACCATGCTCTTTCACCCCCTTGCACCCAGTTCGCTCCTACCAAACTCTTTTCTCCATCTCCTGCCCCCCTCTCCCCCCACCCCACCACAGAGGGCACGCAGTACGCAGCAGCAGAGGGTCTACTACGCCAGTTCCTACTGCTGCCATCACACCCACTAGTGCTCTTCCTCAACTTCGGGGTCTTCCATCCCCACGATCCGCTGCTCTCTGCCTTCCACCACTCAGCCGAGGCCCTGCTCAACCACCTCTCAGCCTACTACAGCGTCCCCGCTGTCAGCCCCTGGCGGGCCTACTTCCCCCTCGTCGCCACCGCAGCGTCCCCATCCTGCCCAGCCCCACCCGACCCTTCCTCCGAGCCTGCCGCCAAGCCTGGCGTGCTGGCCCCGCCATCGTCCGAGCGTGCGGGGAACCTGACGTGGGCGCACATGTTTGTGGACCGCGTGCATCCCTCTGCAGCCGGCCACGGCATGGCAGGCAGCCTGGCGGCCCACCGCCTCTTCTCCCTCGCCCTGCACTACCTGCGCCGTGAGGGCCTCACCCTCTCCCACCACCACCTGCGTCTTGACTGGGTGGACAGCAAGGCGGCGCCCTCTACTCAGTCCGCGCTGCTCTGCCCGCCCAACTCCCTCTGCCGCAAGTGCTTTGGTGAGCTGGGCTTCTCAGCCCTCGGCCCGCCGCTCTCGGCGCCGTGCATGCTGCCGCCGTTGCAGAGCGCAGCAGACCCGCACCCGCGCTGCGTGCTCGGCAACACCTGGAACGTCACGGCCGTGGGCAATGTGGAGTTTCCTGAGGGGTATACAGCTGTTAAAGAGGCTGCTTCTAAAGGGGATGCGGCGAGTGTGAAGAGGATTGCGGAGGCGAATGCGTCATGGGTGCAGGAGGCGTGTGGACCGCTGGTGCCTCAGATCCTGTGCTGGAAGGCCCAGGCTGCCCGTTCTCCTCTGCGTGTGGCTGTGGATGTGCGGGGGGCTACACGGGGAATCGGCGTGGTGTACAAGATGCTGGACTGGACGAAGCAGGAGCACAAGATGGACGGTGCAGATGTGCAGGTGAATGGCAGAGATGTGGGGTTCTTGCCGGTGCCTGTGGTGGGGAATACTCTCACACACTGGCGGCTCAACAGCAGCCTTATTCGTTTAGAGGATGGGGGGCATGTTTTGTTGACTATTGTGCCGCGTACAAAATGGTTTCACATGGTGGCAGTGGTGGTTGAATAATTACTGGTTTCACATAGAGAAGTTTCGCAACATGTTCTACTACCCCTCCCTGGGTCCCAACAACCCATATCACAAAAATTCCGCAGCGCAATAAGGTTACGCCCATCTGTATGCGCCAACAGGTCGCAGTTCAGGTAGGCATGGCGGCAACCAGGATTCAGAACGTACCGTACCAGTGGGTACCTTATGCGGTATAGCTCCCAACCTGATCGCTATAGGACTTCAAAACACTGTGAACACCTTTCACCATTTTCACATACAGTACTGATAGGTACTCACACAGTACTTTCAAAAAACGAAAGAACGAAAGAAAGAAAAAGAAGACGAGCATGCTACCGCCCATAACATCATGCAGATGGTGTTGCGGAGAGAACAGGGGATCCAAACGATGTGCCGTCACTGAAGGTCCGCTTGTGCACGCTGCGCCTAGGCGCCACCACAAAGAGAGGACGTGCCCTTCTCCCTCCTCTTCTCCCTGGGAGTTCCCCCGTTCCATAAGCTTCTGAACCGCTCGGAAGTTGAGCTGATTCAAAACGGCTGCGGATCTGGTCAGAGCTCACGCTCTTTATAGGGCGTTTGGAAGAAGGAAGATTCCTGGAAGGCCTGGAAGACAATGAAAATGCTGCAGCAGTCATCGCAGCACCAGCAGCCGTTGCAGCACGTGCTGCAGCAGCAGCACCAGCCGCATCTGCTGGGGTCGTTGCTCCATGACTAGACTCAGCAGCTTCACCAGCGATCCTATCAAAAACATTCCCTGCCCGCATCACCATGGGCTCGTAACCGCCTCCTTTTGGTAGTGTGGGACTCCCCCCAGATGTAGCAGTGACAGCGGCAGGTGAGGTATGTGGGTCAACGTTCCATGACACGCGCTTGCCGGGTGTTGGCGATGCTGCCGTGGTGCTGGCAGATTTCAAGATGGACCGGTGCGCACAAGGGGAGGCAAATCTTGGAGAAACCGCGGTGGTGCTGGCTGATTTGAAGGTGGAGGGGCGAGCACAGGGGGCGTTGAATCTTGGAGAGGAAGCGGTGGAGGCGGCACTACCTCCTGATTGTAAGCTGGAATGGCGAGCAGAGGGGGATGGAGGTGCGGTGGTGGGGTGAGAGAGAGTGAGAGGAGGGGATTGGGTTGAAGGACTGAGAGGAGGGGATAGGGGCAAGGGAGTGAGAGGGGATTGAGATGAGGGAAGGAGAGGAGGGGATTGAGATGAGGGAAGGAGAGGAGGGGATTGAGATGGAGTGAAAGGAGGGGATTGAGATGGAGTGAAGGGAGGGGATTGAGATGGAGTGAAGGGAGGGGATTGAGTTGAGAAAGTGGGATGAGGAGAAAGATGTGAAGGAGTGAGAGGAGGGGATGGAGATGAGGGAGTGAGAGGAGGTGATCGAGGAGGCAGGTGTAACTTTAGAGCCAACCCAGGAGAGCGGCAGAGGCTGAGAAGAGGGAAATGAGCTGGGCGTGTAAAAGGCCGTGCTACACTTCTTGCCACAGTTTCTGCCACAGCATGCTTGTTTGCAGTAACAACAGCAGCTGTAGCCGCAACTCCTGTGACCACTTGCGACTTCACAGCTTCCGCCGCCGCCGCTGCTGCTGCTGTAACCTTAGCAGCAGAAACCGCAAGTCGGGCAGAAGACTCAGAGCTGTGATGCCAGTCTTTGGTCTTGGTCATCAAAGTAAAGTCCAGGCTGTACCTGTGCCTGTGCCTGTGCCTGTGCCTGTGCTTGCTTGCTCCTCTCCTTGGAACACCGTCATTCACTCCGTCTCCAACCTCTTCCCGCCCCCTTTCTTCTCCTTTTCCTCCTCCACCTCCTCCATTCCCTCCCACCCTACCAGCAGACACCAACCCCGGAAGTCCATAGCTGTCTGGAGGAGCAATCAGCCTCCACACGCCTGTCGCACTGATCTCCGTATCGGATCTGCTTTGGCGGGTTAGATACGCCGCTTGGCTGGAGCATGCAGCCTTAGACGGCAACAAAGCTGCCTTATACGAGCCCGAATGTGAGGGAGAAGAAGAGGGAGAGGAAGAGGGAGAAGGAGAGGAAGAGAAGGACCAGGGAACCGGCACAGCACTGGAGGAATGACACGATAATACAGGGCTGCGCAAAAGCTTATTCTGCCGCTCCTGCTGCTGTTGCTGCTGCTGCTGTTTCCCAGGCAGGTGCGAGCCGCCATGGTGTTTCTCGGGCAGGTGCGAGCCGCCATGGTGTTTCTCGGGCAGGTGCGAGCCGCCGTGGTGTTTCTCGGGCAGGTGCGAGCCGCCATGGTGTTTCTCGGGCAGGTGCGAGCCGCCATGGTGTTTCTCGGGCAGGTGCGAGCCGCCATGGTGTTTCTCGGGCAGGTGCGAGCCGCCATGGTGTTTCTCGGGCACGTGCGAGCTGCCACGGGGGCGATTCCCAAGGCGCTTGAGAGCAGGGCGGCGCAGAGTGGGGCAGAGGATTCGCCACGTGCTGTGCGCATGCAGCACTGCTTGCACCGCTTCCCTCGCCACCTCCCTCTGCTCTGCTGCTTCCTCCGTCTCCTCTGCCTCTCCGGCTTGCATTGCTGCTTGCTCCACTTGCTCCTTCTCACCTGCTTCCCTTGCACTCTTACCCAATTCTTCCTCTGCTTCCTCCACTCCTCTCTTCTCGCGTTCAATCGTTGAATCTCGACCGCCGATTCTTGAGATCCTTCTCAGCGATGCTCCTCCTCCGCTTCCGCCGCCCCATGCTCCCCTCTCCTCGCTCTGAGTTGTCAAGTCTTGAATTCCGGATTGACTTCTGCCCGCCTCTCTGTTTGCTGCTTCCGCTGGCGAGGGCGATGGGGAGGCGTCAAAGCAGAGATTGGGGGAGCGACCTGCGGGGACGAGGGAGGGCGGGGAGAGGGCGAGGAGATGGGGAGAGAGTGGAGTGGGGGAGAAAGAGGTGGGGGAAGGGGAGGGAAGGCAGAGGCGTAGGGGGAGACAAGGCGAAGTGAAGCGGAAAGGGGAGGGGGAGGGGGAAGGGGAGGGGAAGGGGGTGGGGGAAGGGGAGGTGGAGGAGGTTAGGAATTTTAGTACTTCTACCAAAGCTTTTCAGTTTACGTCCATGTCTCCTTGCGTCTCGTCCAATCATCACCAAGTAGACGAGATCGCACAAAGGAACGCGACTGGCTCTTCAATAAATGTCGAGCATGGGATAACGCGGAGAAACGAAGGATTACCTATGACACACGCGATATAGAGGGATTATGGAGGGGACGGAGCGACCACAGAGAACAGAAGGATATAGCAGGCAAGGAGAATAAGTGGGAGCAAGGAGAGTATGGAGCGAGCTGGGAGCGGGAAAGAGAAGCAAAGGGTGAAATATTTAATGGGCAGAAGAGGTGAGTGAGGAGGGGGGGTTAGGGGAGTGGGAGAGCAGCAGTATTGGCAAGCGAAATGAGAGGGGAGGATGGCGTTAAGGAACCGGATTGGCATAATACCTGGTCCCACTATTTCGCCAAAGCAATCCGACTTTTTCGCCCATTCGCGAACGCGATCCAACAAATCCAGCAGGGAATGTTTCAGCTGCCCGCTCGTCACCAGCTCGTCGTCCGTTGCGATGGTTACAATCCTCCACGAAATCGGCATGCTGTTTCGCCCAGATCCCCGCAGTCGCAGCGGCATCGCCAGCAGCGGAAAAACGTCGTATACGTCGCCAGGATCGCGAGCCTGCGACCCGATCTCCAGCGCCTCGAGCGGCGCGTTGTCGCACGCCGTTAAGAGCGAATCTGTGAGTTCATTATCCCGCGACTCGTCCTGGCGGCCGTCCGAACCGCCAGAATCGCCTTTCGCATCGCAGCGGGAGAATATCGACATGCATCGCGACGCGAACACGCACGTTTGCGGCAGGATACCCAGATTCCACGGGGACGCTCGTAGGAGCGCCAACGACGACGACGTCTGCGACTCCGACGGCAACGTTTGCACTTTGATAAGGCTGCCGTCCATGGCCATTACAGCCATCCGCTTCTCCCGCAGGAAAAGGGGGTCATCGCGGCGCCGAAGCTTTCGGCTCCCGCAATCGGCGGAGGGGGATTTGGCGGAGCGGCAGACGAAGGAGAAGGCGGAGGTGGGGAAGGGGGAAACGCTGGGGCGGCGCGGCGGGGAGGAGGAGCCGCTGGGGGGAGAAGCAGGAGGCGTAATGAGGAGGATGTCGTGCCAGATGGAGGACACGTGGCCCGCGTTGATTAGCGGGAGAATGCTGGTGGATGATCCGACGGTCCGAGTCCGCACCATGATGCTGTACTGGTACTAGTAGTACTATCAGTTACAGTGAGGCGAGGTCTGCCGCAGTGAACTACCCGAGCGGAAGCGATGATTGTGCGGTTGAGGAGCAGGGTGCAGGTGCAGGTGAGCTCTAACACAATGATGGACATGGACGATTCGTGTGAGGCTTTTCATTCCGAAAAGCTTCTGAGAATGAGACATAGTCGCAGCGTCGCGTTGAATGACAACCAAACGACAGAATCATCCCCCAGAGAGCGGTGAACACGCTGCGAGCAGCACTGCTGGCCGTGGTCCCTCGGCAAACCCGCAGGCAGTCTGAATACGACGACGTTGAACCTCAAACATGAGATCAGAAACTTTCGTTATTCGCCCCCTCTCCGGCCCTCCCGCAAAGGAATACACGCGCGTCCCGGCCTGAGGAGCCATGTGATAAGCCAAGTGAAACTCTCCACCACACTCGGCTATCTAGTGTGACGTAAGGCACCTATCCTGTGCGACTGGCAACTCGTGTATGTACGCAGGCTACAGTGTTAGCGAGTTGCCGTGGCGGTCCTAAAGATTATTGTGCGGAAGCATCATGGCTTGCTCAGATCAGTTACCAGTCATAACTAATGTCTTGGAAGGCGACTCGGGAGTTGAAGGCCTAAGCAGGTACGACTGGGAGGCGGGGTAGTTTTGTAGTTGGGAAAATGGGCAGGCTTGGAAGATAGGGATTTTGTAGTTGTCTTGCGGCTCCGAACCATATGACCGAACTGAAACCGAACCAGCTGGTGAACGTACATGGTGATCTGTTCGCTGCAACAAGCCCCAAACCAAGGCTTGGCTAGGCTCACACAAACATAACCAGCCAAAGTGGTCCCAAGCAGCCCAACCTTTCCATGCCGCCCAGCCTCAGAGAGATTTCTCAGGGCGTGTCTCCATTTTCCTCGACGGTTCGAGCCGTGGACGGTCCGAACTGCAAAGAGGTTACTTATTCCGCTCATAAACGCGAAGATTTTCGTGAAAGTATTGACGACGTCGTCAACGACGTCGTCAACGTCGCATCACTTTTCCCGATTCCCAACGGCTCACATTTTGAACCGTCCGCAGCTCAAAAAACAAACGAACGCTACAGCAGTACTAGCGCAGGATTGGCGGGCGAAAAAACGAAAACAAAAAAACAGGGCCGCAATCCTAACATCTCATTACCGTGCGACGCGTCGTTGAACATTGGACCGTCCGAAAATCTCCCACCCCACCAGCACTACAAAGCCACACAACTCCGAACTGAACCACAACAGCCGAGCAAGGACTCATCTACCACTGCTGATAACTCCGAACCGACCAGTACCTCACCCAACATCTCGCCATCTGATCCCAGTACTGATCTCCCAGCTCAAGCACGCGGGAACACACAAACCACTCCGTCAACCGCTTCGGGCGTGTTTGTGTTTTGAATCGAGTCGCAGAGGGGGTGTGCGAATTTGGCGAGAAAGTGTGATCTCGGTTACGAGGGTACAGTAGGATTGACGAGGCAGCAGTACTTCGTCATTTTGTGTAGGTGAGAGAAGTGACGCATTTGGATTCGGACGGTCTGAAGTTTGGAAATTGCGAAGTGGACTGTCCGGTACGCGCTATTGGGACCGTCCGATACAAAATATGCAGTCTGTCCGAAAATTTTGTAAAAAGCAAAATGGAGACACGCCCTTACCTCGGTAAGGCAAGATTCGCCTTTTGACTGCATTAGATTCCGTGGATGCTCCAATACATACAGAAGTGTTACAGAACGTTTTATGAATGAAAAGTGCGCGAAGGAAATGTCATTGTTGGAAACACCAAGTCATAAGCGCCTCTGTCGTGTCGAAACACCGCACCAGAAGCGAAGTAAATCATAACGAGGCATCCGCGAGTCAACCTTCGGAGGTTGAGAGGTTGCTGGAGGTTACGCGAAAGTCAAAGGTCAGCGACCTTTGACCTGACAAGTACAGCGCGACAGTAAGGACACACAACTGACTCGCTACAGAGCAGTTGCCCGAGTCGTCACTGTATCGAACCGCAACAGCAACAGTAAAGTAGTTATAACTCTACCTCTTCATATTCATTGTATCCTTATATAAGTGCCTGTATTCTCTTGTTTTTAATTAACTTACTTTGCCCTCACATACCAGCGCAAGGTGGTTCAAGATCTCTTCATTAACGCTTCCGCTATTACAATTGTCCTACCCGAATTTACCCCTGCAAAGATCCTAAGGGCTTTTTCTCAGCCCAACATGGTATGAGAGCTAACAGGGGAAATTCAACCACTATTAAGTCATCTACAACACCAGAAGACATGGCAACACAGAAAGAAAGGAGCTCTTCTAACGGCTCCCACGGAACTACCCCTACCCCACCTCCTACCTCTGGCCTACAGACAGAGGAGGGCACGGCAACAAGACCAGCAGCACCTTCAGCAAGCCAACCTGTCAGCTTCGACCAAAGCATGATGGAGAAGTTCTTCTCCTCCATGTCTTTTTACGAGCAACACCAGCAGTCAGCGCCTGCGCAATCGAACAACAGCAACAACAACAACGATGTGACTCCCATGAGTCTCGACGGCTCATCATACGCGCGCGGAAATCAACAGCAACAGCCTACCTTTGCTCCGTACGAGCGCGGGTCCATCAGCTTCATGCCGCACCCGCAACCCTCACCTGGACAAGAGAAACCAATAGACGCGTTACAAGTCCAGTCGCAGTTCGCACACGTTCTGAAACTGCAGACGACAAGACCTTTCGACGGAAAGGATTTCTTCACCTGGTCATTCGAATTCGAGCTAATGATGGAAGGCGCGCAGATACTTGGCTTCTTCGACGGGTCCCTGCCATACCCAATAAGCGGCACACAGTACGAGAAGCAGCAGTACACTTATCAGTCAATGATGGCGTACACGATCCTACTGAGAAACATCATGTGAGAACTAGAACGAGAATGATTGCGTTGAGCAGCATGAGGAGTACAAGTACCAAACCCTAGAATGTTGTACCCCATATAAGCTACCCCACTACAGCCTACACAAACTATAGTGTATGAGTTTGACACACCCCCATAGGCAAAGTGGGGGAGAACAAGGGGTCACAAGACCAGTCAAGCAAAGCAAGGCAAAGCAAGCTCAGGGTGGATCACAACGTCACCACACAGTCTGAGCACAAGTTCAAGGCCACAAGGCCAGTTCACATGCAAGGTTACATATATATAACGCTAAACAAGCAAGGGCAGGTATATATATGTAACAGTACAAGCAAGGTCAAGAAGTAAGCAAGTGAGGCAAGGTAGGCACAAGACCTAACAGAGTACAGAAGCGCTGATGATCACAAGGCGCGAGTGCCTTGGTGAAGATATCAGCAGTGTTGGCCTCAGAGGCCACGTAAGCAAGGCGCAGCTGACCACGCTGCTGC